CCTGTCCTCTTCATTAGTTACCATTCACCCAATCTTTGTGTTAAACTTTATCAATAATGATTTTGTGTTTTCCTCCAGGTCACTGATTAAAATAGAGTGGAGCCAAGAACAGATCCCTGTGGGACTCCACTACACCCATTTGATGACCATTCCCTATTTACAATTACATTTTGAGACCTATCACTTAGCTAATTTTTAATCTATTTAATATGTGCCATGTTAACTTTGTATGGTTCCAGTTTCTTAATCAGAATATTGTGTGGTACCGAGTCAATTGCCCTATGGAAGTTTAAATATACTATATAAACACAGTTACTTTTATCAACCAAATTTATAATCTCATCAATAAAAGATACCAAGTTCCTTTGAAAGGGCCTATTTTCCACAAACACAGGCAGATGCTATGAGTAAGAGGTTCCTGTCTTCTTATTTTAGATGGGAAACTGATTATAGTTTGTAAACCAAGATTGTTTAGACTGGTATTACTTTTTATTCTTAAGGGTATGTCTGGGGGGGGGGGAGGTGTTGCAGGAGTTGTTTAGTACTTTGTCTATTTGTTATTCTTTCAAGTGTGGGTCAATTTTATTTTTTATTTTTGTATAGAGCACTTTTCTAGTCCTAGATTATAAATACATTTTATCTATTTATTTGTTTTCCCCTATCAGGGGGAAACAGCCTTTAAAAAAAAAATCTGAACAATAATATAAAAAAAAGAAGGGGAGGGAGAAGAAAGAGTCTAATATGACTGCCTTTGAAGCACAATACCAAGGAGATGCCCTTTGCCATGGTAAATTTTAAAACCTACAGTAAGAGTTAACTTTGTTGTAGAAGAATCTAATTTACTTTGGCCTCTATTGAAAAAAATCCACTGAATAGTATTGTGTCTCCAGTTGATCAGATAGAGATCAGACATTGTCACAACCCCGCAAAGTCATAAAACGCACATCTCCTTTCACTTTCCATTGTGAAATTGCAAATTATAAATGGCAAAAGGCAACTCAACAAACTACACATCCAGAATAAACCCTCTGGGAGTGCAGGCAAAGCAGATCTCTATACTAGCTCCAAATAAGATGGCACGGAGGGGCCATTCAATCCACACTTACGCCTGGGTTTTATTTCCTCTAAACATCTGCATATTCCCCTGCACTAAGCCCCTTTACTTGAGCTTTACCCAGGAAGGGATGAATTCAGACCTCCAGGGCACTGTCTAAATTAGGGGAAAAGGTGGTGTTTTAAAAACATATTAGCTAACATGGTTTTATTAACACAGTTTTAAACACTACTTAGCACCTTTTGTAGAGAGGATTTAATACCTTTAAAACCATGTTAGATAGTTGTAGTCCTCCATTGATACTGTTCTCAAACCAGTACAACTCAACCAGTACATATGAGAGGAAAATCAGGTCCTAATTATGGCTCAAATTCTGCACACAGGGCTTGTCTACACATGGAATAGCTATTCTGCTTTAAATTCACACCCTACTTTATTCTAGAATAACTTTCATGTGTAGACAACTCCCTAAATGTGACTAATCACATACTTAAAGTTAAGCATGTGTATAAGTGTTTGCAGGTCTGTGTTTGCTTACTAGACACAATAAACCCCCCTCTACACACCATTAGACCATTGATCTTAGTTTTTATATAAATCTCAGATTTTTTTTCAGCTAACTGAAGACCACCATGTTGAGTCTAACCCCAGCTATAATGGAATGATTGAGTGATCAACACATTTTTTTCACTATTTTAACATCTCATAATTATAATTATTTTACATCATGTTTTAATAATTATTAGAAAATTAAATATTGTATATTTCATGGGAAGGAAGAACATCTTGAGGTGTTTTCCTTTGTCAGAACAAATCGCGTTTTTGAGACTCCCCTTACATTAGCTCTGGTGCACCACTGAACAGACAAGCTAATGAGCGAAATGAACCATGACATGCATCTCATATAAACAGAACAAGAAAAAACAGTAAAATCATGATACTATGCGGTTATATCAGGACTAAAATATCTATGATAAATGTGACATCATTTATTTCTTCTCTGCTTGTCCTTGTTTCAGTAAAACTGGCTGATACATGGAAATAAAAGCAATAGAATGAAGTTTCTATATAGCGTTTTCTAGAAAAACCTCTTCCAAACATTGTATCATTAAAGGCAACATCTAGTTTCATTTATTAATACAGTTCTAGCAAACTCTCTAAAGGAAAACAAAGTTTTTGACTGAGAAATATTAGATCATTGTTTTCATGATTTAGGCAGATTTAGAAGTCAATATAATGGATGAAAATTAGTATTGGGGTGTATGCCTGTATTTGAGCTATGTGTCTGTGTCTTAAAACAAAGAGAAAAATATAAACCCTACCCCCACAGCTATTAGCATGTGTATGAACACCACTCTCCTCATCTTGCCCACAGTCCTGCAATAGTGGGCATCCTCCCAACTGCCAGGATCTCTACCTGGTCCCCTCGTAAGGTAAGGTGGGAACCAAGAAAAGCCCATCTTCCTTCCACCTTACCCATTTTTCAGTGTGTGCCTTAAACTGCGTAGTAATCAATGGTATAATTTGGTCATCTGACTGGGATTAGGAATATCAGAAAGGGCCTGGATTGCAATCCTACCTCTCGCTGACCGTATTATTGTATTATGGTCCAACATGTTACTGCAGAGGTTGAGAGAGCCATTAGGGCCAGGAGAAATGTGAACTATGAGAAATGAGAAAGCCTTTCCTGGATTATGTTTGCGGCACCGTAGCACATTGAACATAGCCTGTGATTACCCAGGGCCATTCCATTCCAACACAATTCACCTTTCAGACATTGGGAACAACTTATTTATTCTAGACATTAAGATTTGCTTGGAAGGTTGGCTGTATGCAAATTGTCTTGGTTACTAGCCAAGCAGTCACTAGCAGCATCTAGTGGCAAGATGGTTCTAGTGGTGGAAATATGTAGGCCAATTAGCAATTAAAATGGGGTAAAAGTGGTTGGAATCTCTCAATTTGATGCTATGAGGTTAGAAATTGAAATACCTCAGGACACTGATCCTCAATGGCAGAAAATGCTGGAGAGCAGTTTAAGGCTAGTTAGACCTCTTTATGAGTTTAGAGTGAATAAGCTAAGTCCTGGAAGGTAGCAGGGCCAAATCAATCCATGGACCAGTCAGAGGGGATATTGGAATCTCTCAGTTTTCACTGAGAACATGGAAAAGCTATGGTTGAGAGGTTGGCTGCAGGTTCCCCTTGTTGCAAGAACTATGTCTTGTTTCCCTGCATTGATTTAATAGTTATATGAAATAAAGTTACAGTCTGTTCCATGTTTCCCACAAAACAAGTGCCCTTTTTAAGAACATAAGAACGGCCATACTGGGTCAGATCAAAGGTCCATCTAGCCCAGTATCTTGTCTTCTGACAGTAGCCAATGTCAGGTGCCCCAGAGGGAATGAAAAGAACAGGTAATCATCAAGTGATCCATCCCCTGTCGCCCATTCCCAGCTTCTGGCAAACAGAGGCTAGGGCAGGAGTGAAAGTGGGCCAGTCCGGGCCGGTACGGGTACAGCGCACCGATAAAAAGTGGCCGCCAGTCCGGCATGTATGCAGCCGATGTTAAAGCGCTGCTCCCCAGTCCCCCAAGCCACCAATGGAAAAGGGGGGGGGGGAATGAGCAGCTGCCCTGGGGCCGGAAATTTAAAAGGGCCCGGGGCTCCCAGCCACCGCTACCGCCCAAGGCCCCGACCCAGAAAGTGTTACTTTCACCCCTGGGCTAGGGACACCATCCCTGCCCATCCTGGCTAATAGCCATAGATGAACCTATCCTCCATTAACTTATCTAGTTCTTTTTTTAACTCTGTTATAGTCTTGGCCTTCACAACAACTTATAGCCTGGTAAGTAAAAAGCTATATCTGAATAACCAGTAATTAAACTGCATACTTTCACTTACCACACTATAATCCTAATCCTGCTCCCATTGATGTCAGTGAGAGGAGGATCAAACCTTGTATTGTGAAATCCCCCTTCCATTCACTGAATTAACAGAGCTATATTTTTAAATTAGGATCATGTTTGACATGAACAATTCAAATTCTACAAATCTGATGTATTTTTCCTCATGTATATCACGCTCATCCTGTGTAACTATTATTCTGTTTCCAGAAAAATCTTTTTCTAGCCCAATAAATAACACAAAAAGTAAAGTAATTCTTTGATAACAAAAATAATTAAATAGCAGGAGCAGGTTAAAGATCAGCATTCATTTTTCAAATTAAATTTAAAAGCCTGCTCTAGTTACTTAAAAGATTGGCAAGTTTTACAAATAACATCACTGAGCCTTTTAGAGGGAAACACAGACGCATTAGAATGGAGTCATTAGGCAATACATTTATTTTGAAGCCAATTAACCTTTTGTCAGAGAAATGTCGGAGCCGTAATGGTTTCTGCAGTGGAGGTCAGCCTCTAACAGGGGCACGTATGACAGCGATTACGCTGCCTGACATATGCTGCAGACTGAGAGTACAGCCGTGGAATGAGCATTTGCCTTCGTTTGTATTCTGCTCTGCATTTCCAGGGAGCAGGCAATCTTGACCTATCCATTTAGGTAATTAAAGCTTCCATTTGGAAGTGTCCTGCAGGAAGGTGAAATCTGGGAAAGATAAATGGCTGCTGTTCACTGTATCCAGCTACTTTTATCATTTGATGGACTGCCTGAAATAGGCTGGGTTGCCAGGTCCTCATAGAAATAGAGACGAATTGGGCAGGAGACAATACTCTAAGGCAAAGCAACTCTGTCATCTTCCTTTTTGCAACATATAATTTAATTGTTAGCCAAGGTAGATAGCTGACTCAGGGGGCCTTTCTCTAACAGCTCCCCCACCATCTTCCATTTGCTAAGAAATTACTCCAGTTTATTTACTTATAAGCCAACTTTGTTTGGCAATGAGATATGTCACTTCAATAAATGCAGCTGGCTGTTACAGCTGTGCCCTGACTTACCTTCCAGGCTATTTTATTTCCTCTTGTATCATGCTCAAGGGCAATTGGGAAGTCTCCTCGCTCATAAAACTTGCGAAATGCTGTAGGCTTTGTTGGTCTTTCTTTAAATGCTCCTGCAACTGGGGGTCCTCTTACCTAAAAAACACATAAACAAACAAACCATAATGCAACTGCATTTTTTAAATAAAAATGCTGAAATTTGTTTAGAAATATTAGTGGTTTAAAAGGGGTTGATAAGATAGCAGGTGGCACTGATTTCACTCTTCCCATGTTATACTTCTTTTAATTTAAGTGTCCTGTTAGGGTTTTTAATAGACATTAAAGGAAAGGAGTATTACTCTTAAATTTAGTATTATTCTTTAGAATTTTGTTTGCATTGTCCTGTAGGTACTAAATGTATTGTAAATGTTTTTTGGATCATCCCATGAAAAATTGTCTTTTCATTTTAAACTCTGCATCAGTTTCCACACCTTTTAAAAATAGAAATAATACTACATGCTCACAAGTTTTACAATACTGTACATGTTTTAGGAGGTTTAATTACTTCTGGTTTGTAAAGCAGTTAACATATAAAGCAATACATAAGTGTAAACTATTTTTATCAGCATCTAGAAGAACACGTCTCCTTGGGAAGCATCTTTCTATTTGCTTTAATATGAAAGTAAGACACAAATCACTTCCCCTTTGCTTTTTGGCATGGGAGAGGGGAGAGATACACACAAATACTGGCTACAGCAGTAGGTAGATGTTTAAGAGGGAGAGGTTTCTAAGCAGTCCTGAATGTACAAACAGCATGTTTTTGGCAATATGGGCTTTAGGAGGTGTGTCCAAGAGAAGGGAGTGGAGCTGGAGTAGGCCACCAAACACAACAGTATCCTCCTTATAATGTGCAGAAATTTTTTTACAATGTCTAGTTAAAGTTAATGTGACCCCCATCAGCATTAACTTCTGCAAAAAAAAAAACACCATTCTGTCCCTTCTATAAGCAAATTCACTAAAATCAATGCATTAATACTGGTGTAAAAGAAGAATCAGGCCTGGAAATAAGGCCTTGTCTCCATGGGAAAATGGACCAACATAACTATTATGGAAAAAGTAGTTCCAGAATAGCTCCCCATTGTGATACTTTATTCTGGAATAAAAATGAGTTTATGTCTCCGATCCCTCATCACCAATGGGGACTGCAACTTGGGGGCTCTGCTTATTATAGGGGGCACCTTCCCAGTCAGCAGAGATGAAGTGCTAGACTGGAGTAGCAGACATTAGTACATCTTAGCCTGGTCCTGCCCCCTTGCCACCAACAGGGACACTGATTGGCAGCAGTGGTGAGTGAGAGGGCTCCTCCTACAACAGAAAGCATTTCCCAGAAAGCAGGGACTTGTGCTTGTTTTTTCTTTGTAATTTTGTTCATCTGCCAGTCACCCATAGCTCCTCAACACATGCATCTTCTGCATCATAGTATCCATTCATCCTCTTCCTCCCCCGCCCCTCCCATCCCCTTCCCTCAGTGGCTCCATCTTGCCCTCTACAATCCCCACCATCTCTACCTACTCCTCTTCCCCTCTTCGCACTGATCTCCTACCTTCTTCCACGAGCACAAATCTAGGTCCCACATCCTCCTCCATATGTCTGGTGACATTTGTCCTAACCCTGACTCTCACACCACCTCCACCATTTGCACCTCACACATGCCTCCCCACCACTGCCTCTGCTTCTCTTGTGCCATCATTCCTAAAGTCACATCTATACCCCCTTCCTTCCTTCCCTTCTCTTTCTGTATCTCTTCTCCTACTGCCTCCACTTCTCTCTGCATAGGATCTTGCCAATTTCCTCCAAGAGAAAATTAGCATAATACAACATGATCTTCTCCTTCCCCTTGGCTTGCCTTCCTGTCCCCTCCTACACCTCTTCTCCTTCTTTCTTATCACAGATGCAGAAGTTTCTTGTCTGCTCTCCTCCTCTAACCTCATCACTTGCCTCAGTGACTCCACCCCATCCTCTTTCCTGATCTCCCTCTTGTCCACTCTCATCCCCTCCCTCTTACTCTTCTCTTTAACCTGTCACTACCTCTGGTGCTTTCCCCTCACAATACAAAGCTTTGGTCTCTCCCATTTAAAAAAAAAAAAACTTACCCTTGATCCCATTTGCCTCTCCAACTCCGACAACATTTCCCTTCTCCCTCTCATCTCTAAACTTAGTCAACACACTGTCTGCAATCACTGACTGGAGTTAGTCTCCTCCAATTCTATCCTAGACCTTCTCCAATCTGGCGTCTGCCCCTTGCACTCCACGGAAACGGCTCTTGCCAAAATCTATAATGATGTCTTCCTAGCCAAAGCTCATAATCAACACTACATACTCATCTTTCTTGACATGTCTTATATTCATAGATTCCAAGGCCAAAATGAACCCTTGTGATCACTGACACAATCAACCATGGTCTTCTTTAAGTCCTGTCCTCTATTGGCTTCTGTGACTCTGTCCTATTCTGGTTCTTCTCCTAGTGATTCTGCTCCTATCTCTGTAGTCACTCCTTCAGCATATCCTTCAGCGGATCCTCCTCATCCCCCCTCCAACTTTCTGTGGAGGAATCCATAGGGGTCTGTCCTTGGTCTCTTCTCTTCTTCCTCTATCCCTTATCTCTGGGTAATCTCATCTGCAAACACAAATTCAAGTACCATCTCTGTGCTGATGAATCACAAATCTGCCTCTGTAGTCCAAACCTGTTTTCTTCTCTCCAAATTAAAATCTCGTCTCATTTCTCTGACATCACCTCATGGATGTCTAGCTGTCAGCTCAAGCACAATATGGTTACAACTAAGTTCATAATTCCCTACTATCTCCTTTCTCAATCATTGTGAGCAATATCACTAGGGCTGGCCAGAAAATAAGAATTCCATTTCACAGAATATTATGAAGTTTCAGAATTTCATTCCACATCAGAACAAAAGTGAGACTTTTCAAAATTTTGGGAAAAAACAGAGAGAGGGAAAGACACACCCTAGAGGGAAAGACACACACTAGAATAAACTGGTGGCTAGGGTACTCAGCTGGGATGTGGAAGAATTATGTTCATGTCCCTACTCTCCCACATCAAAGGTGAATGCCTTAACAACTAGGATATTGGCTATTTTGAGATGGGTGGGGGGTGTCTGTCTCTCTTTGACCAGGAAGTCCATCCTGGACTTGAGATACTTTGCTGTTGAAACCAATATGCTTCAGTGAAAAGTTTCAGTTTCGACAAAAAAACCCAACGGTTTGTTGAAAAATTTCCGACCAGTTCTAAACACTGTCCTGACTGTCTCTCAGGCCTGTAACCCAGGTGTCATCTTAATTCAGACCTCTCTCTAACTCCTCATATCTGTGTTCCATCTAAGTATTGAAGTTTTTTTTCAATAACATTTATATATTATGGTCTTTTCTATCTATCTACACACCTAAAACTGTCATCCACACTTTCAGTATCTTGATTATTCCAACAACCTTTTGCTTGGCCTTGACAAATCAATCTTTGGCCTGCACATATCCATTCAGAATGCTGCCACAAATATCATTCTCCTAACCCATTGCTTTGACCATATTAGCCCTCTCTTTGCATCCTTCCACTGGCTCCTCCCTATCATGCCAAACATAAGCTACTTTTCTTCACATTCAAGGACCTTCATGGTCTATCCCCACCCTGCCTATCATCTCTCATTCGCTATCGAGATGTTAACCACTGCCTCGAGTTAGCCAATGAGGCCAGTCTTCCTCATCCACTTGTTACATTTTCAGGCAAGCACTTTTGCGCTTTCTCCCATGATGCCCTTCACTTGAGAGGAGCTCTCCATAAGTATCCAGAAAGCTACCTTATTACCTTTTTTCAAATTCCTCCTTAAAACTCTCCTTTTCCTCGATGCCTTACAATAAACTTGACAACCATTAAGCCATGCGTGTGCTGCTACCACTATTTATCATGATGACCAATACTGTCTGATTGTTTCCTTGTACTCCCCCATATATGTGTCTGTATATGTCTGATGTTTCATCTGATATTTAGATTATAAGCACTTTGGGGCAGGGACCATCTTTTTGTTCTGTGTTTGTATAGTGCCTAGCACAATGGGGTCCTGGTCCATAACTAGGGCTCTGAGGCACTATGATAATATACATAAATAAATAAATAAATAAATAGGCAATTTTATTCCGGAATAGTGTCCATCCAGGAGAGTTATTCCAAAATAGCTCAATTATACTGGAACAGTTATTCCGAAATAGATATGCAATCAATTTCCCCTGTGTAGATAAGGCCTAACTTTCCCACTTCCACGATTCTTCCTTTATAGGGGATTCTTCTGAAAGAAGACAGGGTCAGGCAAATATCCTTTGCCTAATATTTTTTCTTCTTGTAGGATAGGTTTTATTGGCTGAGCAAAGTGAGGTCTCAGCAAATGGAGGACTGTGGTGCTTTTACAGAGCAGTGGGTGTGCAAGGGTCTGGACTGGAATAGCCAGGATTGCTTCAGATCAGGAGCTATATTGGCTGAGTAGGAATGAGGCTGGAAATTTGCACAGTAACTCCCCTCACACTATCCCTGGCACAGACAAGATCATTTACTTTTGTCCAGTCAAAACTATTTTTGTTCATATAAACAGTGCTCATTTGATGCAGAATCCTTTGCCTGCAGTACCAAATGGGTCTGTCAAGGGGAGAGATGGTCAAGAAAGGCAGTAGAGTTAGGGTTTAAGGTTAGGGTTAGGGTTACTGAAGGGAGAGAGTGAAGTTTGGTGGAGTTTCCCCTGATGTCACAATGATGCTGTTCAGGCTCCTCTGCCTAAAGCACCAAATGAGCACCATCAAGGGGAAGCTGTTGATATGAAATTGATAAAACAACAAAGAGAAGAAGATGACTTAAAAACCACAACATTTTTGTTGGAAACTTAATTTTTTTTTAAATTTCCTACCCAAAAATTGGCATTTTCCAACCAGGTCTAAGAGGACAATTACTTATTTATGTAGTGCTGATGAAAGATTTGATTCTGTTTATTTAAAGCAACCCAATGTCTCATAAATGCATACAGTATGTCCCTATTCATTTAAAACACAAAAATGTTCAAATTATCTTTCTCAGAACCTTCCAGGTATATGAGTTCTCA